CGTCACCCATCTCTGAACAGTTGCCATTCTCAACACCATTTCCATCTTCACGAAAGACAATCATCTGGGCAGGTGCAATTCGAGCGGTAAAAGATCCACTTTTTGCCATCCGCATTATGTCCCATTTAACTGATCACGAATTTCAACTGATTATTGTCGGTGATGAAGGCGACCGTGCTCTTGCCAACGCTATTCTATCTTCATGTTCACATTCGAACGTTACTCTAATCGGTGGTCAATCCACAGACCAAGTCCATGCACTTATGCGCACCGGCTTTGCCTATCTGAACACTTCTATCGACGAAGGAATGTGTCTGGCCATTCTTGAAGCCATGACACTCGGTCTTCCGGTCATTGCCCGTCGAAACACCGGGAATATCAGCATTGTTAGGGATGGTCAAACCGGATTATTATACGACACACCCGAACAAGCGGCTGAATGTCTGTTGCAACTGGAGAAGGAAACCAAATTACGAGAGGCCCTGATTAAACAAGCAGCCGAGCAAGTAAAGAAAATGCACAGTCCTAGCTCGGAAAGCACAGCCTATCGAAATCTTATCTTCAGTCTAACTGAATAAATTCTTTAATGCTATTCTTTCTATTGTGGCTAGAACTCGGCAGAACCACTATTTTTAACCCCGTCTGGTTTCGGTCACATTACTTAAATCATAAACTTTGTGGGTTCGGAAATGAAGCTTATCGAATTTTTTTCCGCTTCAATTTTTATATGAAAATAAAGCTTTTTGATTGCTCTTACTCGTGTGTGATATCTATTTTCACCCTCTGCTCCACAATAGAGCCTAAAGGAAGAGTGGAGTGAGGACGAGTTCTACGAAGTTAGCTTCAAAGCAAATTATACGACGATCGTTGCGACTATTGTTCAGATAGTCATCATCAGATATGTTCTAAATGTTAAAGTTACGTTATTATAAACCAATCAATCAAAATCCAATCAAAGACAACTAATACAACAGGGGCATAATGATCAAAAATTAGATCGATTGCTCTATATATTGTCGTAGCAAAGTTTATTCGTATAGGGTGAGTTATACGAAGTTAGATTCAAAGCAAATCATAAGATACGTTTCGACTATTGCTCTAACTGAGAAAATCATGGTACGCGGGAGATGCTCTTTTTTTCTAATTAGTGTTCTCTTTTTTTATGGTTTACTATAGGGTGTAGGTGTGGGTATGGGTATATGTGTGAATGCGGACGTGGACGTAGATGAGCGATTGAGAGCCACACACCAGCATCCACAATCACACATCATAACTCATACCCAGACACCCAGCCACATCCGCAATAATGATGTCTTTATATATCATCTTTCAAAACAGCCGTTCTTCAAATATTTTAATTTTTATATTTTTATAGTTGTTTTCGACATTTTTTACTTTCTACATTTTAAGTTTCGACCAAAGTTGAGATTACCATCTATTTCTTTTTTCAGATTTATTTGACTTCACTATAAGTCGTTATGCTATGGATTAAGAGTAAAACTGAAAATTATAACAGATTCCATTTGTTTTCTATTCGGATCATATTGATGTTCACGATGATAAACATAACAACTATGACTTCTATTGATGTATAATCATTTTGGATTTCGAAAAATATTAGATTGTAGCTTCTCATGTTGGTATGATATCATGGTATTGTCTTTTTATCTGATCAACCTTTCTAAATGAATCGAATACAAATTACATTTGTACTCATTTTTCACTTGTTTATTTAATATTGATGGATTGTTTACGTCGTAAATAACAGATGAACAATTTTTTATTCATTTTCATGTATTGAATCTCAGTACGACATTGAACTCTCTTTGGTATATTTTGTGTATGGTAAGCCAGTATGAATATACTCTTTGCCCATATAAAATGGATTTCATTGTATCAGATCTCGGAATCAGGCCTTTTTTTGATGGCACGACTCGATCCAGTGTAGAATAGCACAATAAGAAGTATATTTCTTTTACAATAACTATTTCTGCACAATTGAACTTCGCAAATGCTACAGACATTAATGAGAAGATTGTAAAAATTTTATTATCATAGTGATTACGAGTTAAGTAAGATCGTACAATGTTAATATTTTGAAAAAAAGCATGAGACTCAAGTCGAATAGCGTATTGAACCGAAAGATTAAGATGTACTCATAGATACTCTAACTTGGATATTATCATTTGTTAACGCAAGCTTTCACAAGATAATTGTCGGCTGATCGATTTCGAAGAGTTAGATCACGTAATATATCTAGTTACGCTGCTAATGTTAGAACATAGTTAACCCTATTCCACTTCATTGAAACTCATGCTGCTTAATGCTTTTCATAGTTTGCTTAGCCTTGTATAGATAAAGAATGTGATTGAACCGCATAAAGGATCTGCTTGTATTTATTGACTATTTAAAAACTCCAAATAGTTTGCATAATATAGATTCTAGCTTATAACCAGTTGTTAGGCGCAAGGTTGATTTAAAAAGCACTAACGAAAAATCAGAATGCAACTGATAATGGAGGTGTTTGTATTGTCAGTTAAAGAGATGGCACATATTGAAGTCAAATGAAAGCTCTCACTGCCAAACTAACAGGGTTGAAATATTAGCGGCTGTTGGCTTGTCTAGAGAAAAATATTTGATTTTTACGGTACTCACAGTTTGGGTATGTAGAAACATTAGGATTATTTACATGAATTTTTTATGTAATCAACTGAGTATTTCAATAGTAGACCACAAAAATCTTTAGGAATTTATCAATAGTATTAAGATCACATTAGTTTCGATGTCTTCTGGAACTTAGTTACTGTCGAAATGACAAGAAGAGGTATATAATGTGTTTGAAAAATGCCGTATATGTATAATATTTGAATTTAGAGTGTAATGAGTGTGGGTGTGTGGGTGAAGACAAGATCAACACCCACATCCACATCCTTAAAATAGTGTATTATATAATCTATTGTTTTCAGTTTGAAATAAAATCGAAACTATTGGTGAGTTAAAGATTTGATAACTGCTAATTGATCTTTATCCATATTGATATTACTTAAGTTCCAGAAGACATCGAAACTAATGTGATCTTAATACTATTGATAAATTCCAGAAAGATTTTTGTGGCCTATTATTGAAATACTTAGTTGATAACTGACAACACAAACACCTCCATTGTGAGTTTGAGTAAAATTTGGTTAATATTTAATTTTTCAGTTTCAAAGATAGTTTTCAATTGATTGTAGTCTCTTTTGATCGATGAATATAAAGCATGGCGAAAAATTTCGTAGAACATTTGTAATCGATATATGTCAGTAGCCACTCAAGCAATGTCAATAAATAAATAGTCATTTTAAAACGCATTTGAAAATATACTCATTGTATAAAAATAAAGGATACAGATTTAAAAAGAAGAGAGATATCAATGTGAAAAATATCATGAATGTTTTCAGATACATTTTTTACCCTTGTTGAAAAATCTTTGCACAACATATTTGTTCAGTTCTCGAGCATATACAGCTTACTGAAGCAAATCCAATGTAGTCAGCTAGAGTTAGCATTTCATGCTCTTTTTAAATATGTTTAATGTTTTTTTTCTGAGTTATGGTTGATTCTTAGGAGCAAATCTTTGAAAGACCGAAAACGACGTTTGCACAAAACGCTCAGTTAACAAATTTTAGTACATATGTTTATTAATTTTTGGACACCCAAATGCCATTGAGGAGACTGAAAAGTAGTCAAATACAGTCAGACTTTGATGTTCTTTCCAAATGTATTGTCAGAATTTTTTTCTGACGTAAGATTTGTCAGCTGTGAGTAAATATCTGAATAAATCAAAAAAATGCTAGCATTTAGTAAAGTAGGCCTTTCTCCATCATCCGAATTTAGGAATTTAAAATGCAATACATTTCAATCCTTTGCAGTCGTATGTAACAAGAGTAACAAATTATGAATTTTATAGAGCAGGCTTCGCTCTATAACTTGATGTTCAAAAAAAATTCTGATAGCCTGTATCAAGACAATTTTAATCAGAATACAAAAATGGAATGTATGAAAAATCCTGTACAGACGTCGTTTTGATTTCTTCAAGGTTTTGGTCTCAACAGACCAACTATAAGTCAGAAACATATTTTGCATACATTTAGAAAGAGCATGAAACACTCTTGAAAATGACATTTACTTGTTGCAATCACTTGAGCGGCTGCAGAGATATATCGATTACAAAAGTTCGGCAAACTTCTTCCCATACCTTACATCCGCAAGTGCGTAGTTCATCAATGGCAGCAAAATAGTGTGCAGGCGTCTTCGTAAATCAAGTACTGTCAAGCATACAGTTACAATCTCTTCTCCAAAGACTACTAAGGATAATGAACGCTTGTATATGAACTAAACCGAAACTCGTTAACTGGAAGGATTCCAGAGCTACTCAAAAAATAGTCACTCTATTTGTTTTTTAAACAAGCAATAATTTAGTGATGTTGAATAAGATTCATCAACAACTATCTCTGTTATACATTATCATGTCATATCTAAACTGACATTCATCGATATTGATGGTGAAATACAATGACGGCATGTATTACATTAGAATGAATTGTATGCAACAATCTAGCTTTGATATAAATCGTTGTAATTTGATTATGAGCTTTCGTTTGTTGTCTGTATTATTTCATTTGAGCACAAAATATTTCAAGAAAAAAGAAATTTTAATAAAAATCTTGTAGAATATATTCGTTGTAGTTAGAAAACATTGAGCAATAAATACAAGCACATTTTTTACTAAAATATATTTTACTGTACTTGATTTTTACCAACATGAAAGAATTGCAAGAAGGTCTCTTTCTGTTCTCATCAGAAATTGCCAAATTCAAACATATGAATGACTCAACATATTGAGTCATCCCATAGCTTACCTGTCCACGTCAGCAAATAATTCAACGTGGCTAGTCTACTGAAAAAGTATAAAAACAGATGTTCAAGTAGAAGCAGATAGTATTATCAAACTAGAAATCATGGCATTTAACTATACAACTGAAGTTGAATTTGATTATCTCTTTAAAATATTAATTATTGGTGATAGTGGAGTTGGGTATGTATATTTCTTTTCATTTTGTCTTCCTATCTATAACTATTTGTATTCTTTAGAAAAACTACCATCTTACAACGATTTGCGAATGATTATTTTTCAACAGAATATGTAGCAACTATAGGTGTTGGTAAGTATTTCATTTACGATCTAATCATTTGGTATATTGTTGCTTTCTTTTATCATAATAGATTTTCAAATTCGAACATTAGAAATCGATTCTAAACGTTGTAAATTACAAATATGGGATACAGCTGGTCAAGATCGTTTTAAATGTGTTGTATCTTCATTTTATCGTAATGCAAATGGTGTTATCATCTGTTTTGATATAACAGATTTAGAAAGTTTTCGTAATGTTAATAATTGGCTTGAAGAAGTTAAACGATATTGTCCAGAACAAACACCTATGTTTCTTATTGGTACAAAATCGGATTTAAAAACACGACGTATGGTTTCCGATGATATAATTAAAGCTTATGCTGAAAAAAATCAATTATCATATCTTGAAACAAGTTCAAAAACAAATGAAAATGTTGAAAAATGTTTTATTAATTTTACACGAACTTTAGTTGCTCATACCAATCAAATGGAAATGATCTTTAAAAAAAAGCCAATACCAGGACCAGAAGTCGATTTGAATAGTCGACGAAAAACAGTTATAAATTCAGATAATTCTGGATGTTTGGGTGGCAGTAAATGCACAATTTAATTATTGAAACTTTTACTTCAGTCTTTTTTTTTTAAATGTAAATATCGATATATTTTCTAAAGTTTACAATTAAAAAGATGTAATTTCACAAAAAAATATTCGAACATGATATTAATAATCTTAGACATTCTTCAGAAGTCATACGAATATATACGAGAAAGAAGAGAAGACCTTCGTGAATGTCACTATCAAATAAAGCACATCGAGGTGCCAGCAAGAAACATAATCGAAATCTAAATTTTAATAACACAAAACAAACACTAACCAATCCTTTGAACAGTCTATAGAGATATATCAATTCCTGAGTCATAGTTTCAAATATTAAAAAACTTTTAAAATATTTTGATTAGTTTTTCTTGCTGTTGAAAATGCTAATTATTTTATTAAAGAATAAAATTTTAGTTTCGAATATACATCACAATACTGACAAAAATCTTATTCATAACTTTTTTTCAATTTATACGCTTTAATACACAACAACAATACAAATATTTCACAAAAAAAAAAAAAAAAAACAATAAATAAAATTTACACTGATCTTCATGTTGCACTTTTTTTTTCATTATTTACTGATACTATATAAAATATACAAAAAATTCTATAATACAAACTATTAACAATATACCACAAATAGATACTGGACTGTTTCGAAAAAAAAAAGGCAAAGATGAAAACTACAATAGGAAACATATAAAATTAAGTACGTTAAAAGTATTGAATAGAAATTTTTTTTTTTTAATTTACTATAATACATATTCGTATCACAAAAATAATGTTTTGACGTAATAAGAAATCGAAAACCACAAAAAAAACAATACAAATGTAATATATATATATATATACATATATATAAAGAAACTAAACAATGGATTTTGTTGATAAATTACTTGATGATGATACTGAAAAATGATCATCATCGTCATTATCATCATGAAATTTTAAATATGGTAATGCAAACCATTTCCATCGTTCATTAGGCCAAAAATGTAAATGAAGATTTGCTTGAGGATTTTGTTGTTTTATTGTTAAATAGCCACAAACAACAATACCTTCATTACTACTAAATAAAATTAATACATGCCATATAGAATGTAAATAAGGAAATGATATTGAGAGCCAATATGAACAAAATACTCGATCACTTATCCATATTATAACTGCTATAACCCACATAAGAAAACAATGTATACCAAGATTTTTTATACGTGAATTATCACATCTTAAAAATAAAAGACATATATATAAAATATATCAATAAAATGTAAAATATTGAAATTTTTACCGTAAAAGATGAAGAATAATAAAGCCTATGGCAGGTAAACCAAGAATCATAAGAGCAAAAGCATTTGCATATGGATAAACAAACGAAAAACAAGTAATAACCAAAGCAAAAATAATACAACTGTAGACAAATCGATGCCTAAAAAAAATGAATAACTAGTTATAATCGACAAAATGAAGTTTTATCTTCGTAAGAAAGATTTCTTTTGAAATGACAAAATACTTTTCTTTTCATATTTTCACAGTAATCAAATTAATCAAGATGAAAATTCAGTAAGTCCTCAAAGGAATATACTCGAAACAGATACAACAAACTCCAGTATGTCTATTTAACATAGCCGAAAATCCGATTAAAAAGAAAAAAATATATATAAATACCTATGGACACGGAATGATCGAGGTAAATAATTAGCGGGTAAAAATAGTGCATAACCAATCGTCAATACCCAAAGAATTGATATTTCATCAACTAATTGTCCAACCTAAAAAGATGGTCAAGTTCGATTACTTTTGTTTTTTTTTTTTTCTTTTTAAAATTTAATCTCAACATACAAGACTAAGTGTAGCATGAAAATAAACAGAACCAATACCAATAATAATTACTAAAATCCAAAGAATTGCTATTCCATTTGCTACTCGTTTTGAATATGGTCGAAAAAGAAATATCATTAATGGTGGTACCAAAAAGAAGAAAATATTCGATACCTTAAAATATATAGAGAGAAAAAAATATATATATTTTCGAATTAATATACTTTAAATTATAGTCATGAAAAATTTCCTATGAAAACAAAAAATTATAGCCAATTCAAAATTAAAAAATAGCAAGCAGGGAAAAAAAATAATAAACATGCATTTATACATATAAAATATATAGCAATTCCGAAACGGCAAAACTAAACAAGTTACCTTTCATCCATCTATTTAGCATTTTAGCCAGCAATATACAAATAGAATTAAATAATCGATTCAGCTGTTATTGTAGCCTGATTTAATTGTGCATAACGAAAGGAGAGGAGAATAGGAAAAGTTTGTTTTGTTTTGTTTTTTTTTCTCTTCATACTTACTGTATTCCAAAATTCAGCAATATATTCACTAACAACATAATTTGGTTCACACCAATCGACTTTACTTGAACCAAGTCGAAATGGATTTCCATTTAGATTATTTAAATCAAATTTGGATATACTTGTTGTTAAATACATTTAAATCTAAAATTATTTATTTTCATGTCAATGATCTAATACACGGTCATCATGATGAATTTAAAATGAAATTAAATATATCGAATATGGGTACTAACAGCACTTTTAGGATTTTATATAGTGTTGGTATAAGCAAAATAAATAATATAAAAAGATCTAATCTATCAGTAGTCTGTACTAGAAAAATATCAAGTAGTCTCAAATCATACGTGTGTATAATATAAAAATGTCACAAGCAAAGATAAATTGACTCTAATGCAAAAAAAAAAACTCGAAGATTCTAATAATGTATATAGATTATTCTTTGAATAAAATTTTCTTCATTTTTAAGTTACTTACATCAGCATCATTAAACATAACATTTATAATCTAACTTAAATAAAATCTTGAATCTACACAAGAAAATTAAAAACATAAATATATGTGTGTAAAATATCCCATTTATTTTCTGTTGATGACATTCACATAATCAAAAAAAAAAGCAACAAAACAAAAACAATCAAACCAATATAAACTATATTGTTGTATTGTTATTATTTGTTATTAAAATGGGATTGATCTTTTCTTTTTCTTTTTCTTTGAATATTAATTGTTTTCATTGAAAACCAGCTCGTTGAGCATAAGGACGTTGTTGTCGATCAGAACCACCACGTTGATTTCCACCTTGTTGATTTTGTTGATCACTTGTTTCTTGTAAACCAACATTAGGTAATGATTTAAAATCGAATGCATTTAACATATCCTTCGTATCTTGATCAATAGCAATCATATTTTGTGGTTCAAGTGCTGATATTTCGGGTACATAATTATCACGTCGTTCACGTTCTTCTTCTTGAAGTTTAATTGATATACCACGTACAGGTCCAGCTTGAATACGTTTCATTAAATGTGTTATAAAACCAGCTATTTGATTACGAAGACGTTTTGTTGGTATAATAGCTATTTCTTCAACCACACGTTTATTTGTATGAAAATCAAGCGTCAATTTTGTATAATATTTTTCAATTATTTGACGTGATGCTTTTTTAACTGTTTTCGTACGAACACGACCCATTTTTCTTTTTTAATTGATAGAGAATAACGACGAGATAATCTAAAAATAAAAGTAAGGGAAGACAATATACATTCAAAAAAAAAAAATCGAATTTTTTTTTTTTAATGTTTAGGATCATTCGGGTTTTTTTACAACTATTTTAATTTTAGGTTGTCGTTCGTCAGGTTTAGCAGCATAATCAGATTCTGTATGAAATCGACAATGTTGACAATTATCAAATTCATGAACTTCTGTTGTTTGATCATTATTCGATTCTGGATCATGTGGTTTTGTATATATACAACAACATTTAGATTTCTTTTTATTCAAATTTTCATTATCAATTGTTCCTTCTGTCCAACGTACACGAGGACCAATTTCATTTGAATGATTTAATTCAAGTACAAGTGATGGTGGATTTGATCGTGTAGTTTGACGTGTTTGAGTTTTTGTAATTGTTGATGTCGAAGTTGCCATTTAACAAACAAAAATGGATATAGAACAAATAATTTAATCTGAAAATATAGAAAAAAAAAAAACGATACTTAGAAATTCATAACAGTTGAGGAAAATTTTTTTTTTTTATCTAATTATACAGAACTTAGCTTTCAATCATTCAATATTATTTACAAATCAAATAGTTACACCAAAAGAAACAAACAATTGATTATGTTTACTATTTCAAATATCATCATCGGACACGAAACAAAGAAAAAAAAAAGAAATACATATTATATTTGACATGAATATCACAAATTGATTATTGTAAACAATTACACATACCAATCATAATAAGTTTCATTAAGTATTTTTCCATGACCAAGTGTTTGATATTTAATTGAACGTATACCATATTCATTTCCATTATTTGCTTGTTCAATATCAGCTAATATTGTTGTTGTTTGTCTTGTTGGATTTAAACGATCATATTGTAATTCTACACGTTGTTTCCAATGACTATAATCCATAGGACAAAGATTAGCAAGACCATTATAAATAATTGAACGATTTATTTGTCGACCAAATAAACCATTTTTATATTCAACTTGAAATAAACCAGGACAATGATCACATAATAATCTTAATATTCTATCAAGCATACGTATTGTCCATGCATAACCATCATCAGCTAATTTTCGACATGATATATGACATTTTATTGATATATCATCTATATTCCATGGTATATATAAATAATAATGTTCATTAGATATTTTTAATGAAAATTCTAATGCATATTCGGAATCATCATTTCGTATATGAAGAATTATTGAATTTGGTATCCAATAATGACGAAGAGCAATAAGACGAACTTGTTCAAATGCATAATAAGTTAATAAATGATTATGAGATTTATTTAATAGACGAAAGTACATATCTTCAATATCAGACATCTGAAATGAGAAGAATATTATCATATGAAGAGAAAAACAACAACAAATAGATGTTCGTTTAGTATTTTTCGATTTCTCATTAACATGTTAGTTCAAATATGAATATGTTCAAATCTAATTTATCCGTTATTTTGCTGATCATTAAAACAAAAACAAAAACAAAAAAAAAAGAAAGAAAAACTTTTCTTGAAAAAAAAAATCCAATTATCTATTTTCATATAAAGAAAGAAAATCAGGACACAATAGATCAATCGTACATAAGAATAAAATACAAGAACAAATAAATGGCATGCATAATCTCTTTAACAAATATACAAAAATTCTTTTTCTTTTTTCTTTCTTTGATATTTAACCCTTATGACTAGAACAAAAGAAAGAACTAATAAATATATATATTATCTCTCACTAATGATCCTTTGTTGTTAATCGATCAATTAATTCTTGTAATGGTGCTAATTCTTTTTTTTCAACTAATGAAAAT